ACATTTAGGTCTTTAATCCATTTTGAGTTTATTTTTGTGTTTGGTGTTAGGAAGTATTCTAATTTCATTCTTTTACATGTAGCTGTCTAGTTTTCTCAGCACTGTTTATTGAAGAGACTGTTTTGCCCCAGTGCATATTCTTGCACCCTTTGTCAAAAAGAAGATAACCATAGGTTCATGGGTTTATTTCTGGGCTTCCTACTCCATAGATTGACACATCAGGCACTGAAAGGGACACCCTGAGTGGTGTCCAACTCTGTAGTTCAGTGTGTTAGGCATTTGATGGGCCAGCCTCTCTATTGTCCAGCTGCCGAAGCTGGTGTGTGGGGAGAGAGAGGCTATGGTGATGGTTCCGCCCCTATGCGTGACTCAGCATATCGCCTTGCTTCCATGGCTGCCCAGCTTCCCTTCAAAGGCATTTCCCATCACAATCTCCTCCCTCACATCCCTTCAATCCCTCTGCAGTCAACAGCAGCCCTTGCCCTGGGATTGCTCCACAATCCCTAATCTCCAGTTGCCAGTCCCTAAGCTTTCCAGGGGACATGCATCCCTGTCTGAATTATGTATGGCTGCGGCAAGGACTCTGATTCTCATTCCATTGAGGCTGTCACAGATCAGCTGTTTCACTCTCAGCCTTAAATGTTTCTTCTCTGACTCAGACAATTGCCTGGATGTGGGGATCAGATCCCTGCTTCAGTTCCCCAACCAGCCAAGGGCATGTCCAGTCCTACTAACACTCCCGTTTCTCCCCCAATTCCTTCATCCTACTGAGTTTTGCATGGTTCTGTATGTTCTTTTCCACTGGTCAGGTACTCGTGTCCACTCTCAGCTGGTGTTCTGCATGCACTTCTGTGTCTGAAGGTGTATTCCTGATGTATCCGTGGACAGAGATGTACTCCATGTCCACCTACTCTTCCGCAATCTTGTTCTCTCTATATTTTTGTTTTTGCAGATGCATGTAAGCTCTGTGCCTGAAGGTGTGTGACCGTGTGTGCTCACCTATCAGATTACCCAGATTTTAGTCCATCACCTCACTTACCAGATGAAAGACTTTGAGCAAGGTACATCCTATCTAAAAAAAGGTGATAACCTAGTCTCTATGTCTCAAGAATAAGGGTTGACTATGTAGGGCAGTGTTTTGAAAATGCTTAACACAGTGGGGGACTCACATGCACCTGCTGGAATGCCAGGCCAACTTCAGGAGCATCTAATACTACTTTTCTGAGTAAGGCCCCAGGATACACATTCAAAAGCTCTTCAGTGGATTTTTGTGCCTTTTATTTTGCCCATAAAATTAAAATGGAGAGCCCCATATATATGTGGATGAGAACATAAAAACTGGGAAATGGGAAAGTTGGTTGGAACTCTATCTACTAGGATAGAAGTGAAACAAATCCTAGATGCTATTTCCTTTGAAGGACAATGTGAAGATGACTGTTGGGTATCAAAGGGCATCCTCTTTGGGCCAACACTGGTTAAATATCCACTTCAGCTTCAAAACTATCTTGTCCCAGACCACGTTCACTACATCCCCAAACCCATTTTTCAATGTTCCTAGCTCTGCAAATGTCACACCTCACTAGTCACATGAATTTTTTAAATCAAATTATATTGCATTCCTGCTTAAACGTCCTCTGAAACTATTCTCCTTTCTGTCTCCCTTGCCCAGCTACCATCATCTCTTACCTAACTTACTCTAACAGCCTGCTAAAGTGTCACTTTATTTATCTGTCTCCCTCAATGCCTTTTCCACTTGAGGGCAGACTGCTCTTTCCATAATGTTCATCCAAATATGTTTAAATCTCATTTTGTTCTCATCAGAGTTTTACTTGCTGTTTCTTCAACTTTTCTATATTCTCATTCACGTCTTTGGCTATTTGTCACATTTTCATTACTTGGGACTCAACACAAGCTGACTTGTCACTGTTACCATAAAAGAATGAATAAAATGTGTTCCTGTGGGAATACACCTAGGTTTGCCTGTTGGGACTGACAGCCATTCTGTGGACCCAGATCTCAATTTATACCTAAGAGGCTTTTCTCTCACAACTCTAAGGGCCCGATCAATTTTCCCGAGTTTGGTAAATCTGGTCTTTCTGCCTTACATTTACAAAGATATTCAACAATAATACTGAATAGTGGACTTTAAAATTGCTCATATTTTTGTTTTTATCTCATCCCTAGGCAGGTTTCCTTCTGATTGGACACTGAATACAAATAATTCTATCTTCAGTGGCTATCTGTTTCTGTCTAATATTGCATGACTATGGAAAACATCAGTCAAAGGCCTACCAGTGCTTTGTTTGAGGTACTATAACTCAAGTTTTCTTGGGATAGTATTTATATAGGAAATGCAGGTACATTTAAGTCATGGAAAGTTCCAAATCTTACCTTTGGTGTCATCTGTGCCACTCAGGAGACATCTGTCATTTCTGACTATTGATTAAGTGCAAAGGAACTGGTTATAGGGAGATTGAGTGAGTTTTATGTGAACACCTGGTCCATATAAAAGGTTATGTACAACTTGCAACTTAATTTTTCCATGACTTGGTATAATAAAAAATAATTTTCTAGTGAATCAATTAATGCTTTCAATTGAACTAAAACAGAAATATACTCTAGGGTTCCTGCTCTGTATATTTGTAATTCACACCCTAAAAATTTGAACTGACCCTGCCCTTCACCTGCACTTAAATAACAGCAACAAATATCGTATTACTTTACACACACATATTATGGTTCTGTTAGCATTATCTAGGAGAGCTGCCTTAAAAGACAGCTGGTCCTGCT